TTGCTCAGAAGGACCTCACTTCTGCCATCAGACAGAGTCTCACCTCTACCAGTCGACAACCACGTGAGCGTTCTGTCACTCTGGAGAATGCCGATATCATCGAAAATTCGGTGCCCGGGCCCAAAAATGTGTCTCAGCTGCCACTAGCATCTCCGCGCCAGGAAAACTAAATATGCTGTCGCCTGTTCAGGTGGTAAGCGACAGCAATGTCAACAGCACCTGCCTCCCATCTAAAGAAAGTCGCCTGCACGTCATAGACAAGGTCACTGGCATGAAGTTCCTTATCGACAGTGGTTCCGTTGTATCCTTGATTCCAAGAAGCTTCTTTCAACGAAAACTTCTGCCTGCTGACCTCATGCTATATGCAGCCAATGCAACAGTTATCAAAACGTATGGTCAACACTTTCTTAACCTCAATTTTGGACTCCGCAGATCCTTCAAGTGGGCATTTATCATTGCAGACGTCAAATCAGCAATCATAGGTGCCGACCTGCTTTCACATCATGGCCTCCTTCCTGATTTAAAGCACAAGCGCCTTCTGGACTCTCTCACCTCACTGTCTTCTCCTGCTGAAATGCATGAAACCGAACTTCATACTGTTTCCACTGTCAATAATGCAGAATATGCACCTCCTACACTCAGTCAACCCTATAGCAAGTTGCTGGAAGAGTTTATTGACATCACCCGTCCAAGGTCAGCCCCATCAGTGAACGCCCCTACAGGAACTCATCACCACATAGTCACCACTGGACCGCCAGTCAATGACCGTCCACGTCGGCTAAACTCAGAGAAACTAAAGATTGCTAAAGAGGATTTCGACCTCCTGTTGCATCATGCTGTTATCCGTCCCTCCAGCAGTCCATGGGCCAGTCCTCTACACATGGTCCAGAAAAAGCAAGGTGGATGGCGTTCCACAGGTGATTTTAGGAGGCTCAATTCCCAGACTGTGCCAGATCGGTACCCCATACCACTACCAGAAGACATCTTTCAGCGGCTGCATGGGAAAAGTGTCTTCACTGTCATTGACCTGGTTCGAGCTTACCACCAAATTCCTGTAGCACCAGAGGACATACCCAAAACAGCGATAACTACTCCTTTTGGGCTTTTTGAGTTTCTGGGTATGCCTCCAGGCCTGCGCAATGCCACTCAGACATTTCAACGTCATATGGACAACCTTCTCCGTGGTATTGACTTCGCAGCATGCTACATTGATGACTTGATAGTGTTCTCGGATTCCCATGAGGAACATCTGCAACATCTACGCAAAATCTTTAATGTACTGCGTGAGAACAAACTCACTATCAACCTCAGCAAGTGCCAAATCAACAAGTCAGAAGTTATGTACCTCGGCTACTCCATCAACAAGCTCGGATACAAACCACCTGATTCCAAGATCCAAGCCATCGCTTCTTACCCCAAGCCAGAGACCATCTCTGACCTTCGTAAGTTTTTGGGAATGCTCAATTATTACCGTCGCTGTATTCCAAAGGCCGCTGAACTTCAAGCCCCTCTCAATGCATTTATGAAGGGTGCCAAGAAAAAAGACAAACGGCCCATCCCTTGGACACCCAGCTCAGAGAAGGCCTACCAAGACTGTGTAGAAAGCATTGTCAAAGCGACTTGTACCAGCTTCATCTCACCCTCTGCAAGTCTCGCACTCGTCACTGATGCCTCGGACTTCGCCATTGGAGCTGCACTTGAACAGCTGATCGACGACTGCTGGAAGCCCATAGGTTTTTTTTTCCCGCAAGTTGAGTCCCACCGAAACGCGATACAGCACCTACGATCGCGAGCTGCTAGCGATTTTCGCTGCAATAAAGTTCTTTCGTCACCAGCTGGAAGGACGCCAGTTCATCATCAAAACTGATCATCGCCCACTGGTATACGCCTTTGCTCAGCGCGCTGAAAAAGCATCCCCCAGACAGCTCCATCAACTGGACTTTATTTCACAATTCAGCACAGAAATCGTCTATGTCAAGGGAGAACACAACGCCGTTGCTGACGCCCTGTCTCGTATTAACGCTATCTCCATGCCAACGTCACTGTCTCCTAAAGCCATCGAAGCCGCACAGCTTGAAGACCAAGATACGCCACAAGAATCATCGCTCAATCTGCAACAGCTTCTTATTGAAAACGCCAACGTCCTTTGTGATATCTCTTCAGATCGCATCAGACCCTACATTCCGACAAGTCTCCGACGCAAAGCTTTTGGATGTTGTGCATGGTTTGGCACACCCCAGCGGCCGAGTCACTGCTCGAAGCCTCAAAGAAAAATTTGTTTGGCCTGGAATCAAGAAGGACGCCCTCCAGTGGTCCCGCCAATGCATTCAGTGTCAAAAATCCAAAATTCAACGACACAATCGTCTCGCACCACAGCACATCACCGTACCTGACAACAGATTCGAGCATATTCACCTAGACCTCATCATTTTACCACCAGTCAACAAATTTCGTTACTGCTTAACCATAATTGATCGATTTTCTAGATGGCCTGTTGCAGTACCCCTCCAGAACATGGAAGCTGACACCGTCTCGTCTGCTCTCTATGTCAATTGGATTTGCAACTACGGAACGCCACTATCCATCACAACTGACCAGGGCACGCAATTTGAATCTTCACTATTTTCGGCTCTTGCACGCCTTGTAGGAGCGCGGGTAATCCACACCACGCCCTATCACCCGCAATCCAATGGCATCGTAGAGCGCTTCCATAGGACTTTGAAGGCAGCCCTTATGTGTCAAGCACCCACGCCCTGGACGGAAGTGCTTCCGACCGTTCTTCTGGGTCTGCGTACGTGCCTGAAAGAAGACCTGAATGCCTCACCAACGGAGCTCCTTTATGGGACACCCCTGCGTATACCTGGTGAATTCTTCACCTCTGAGTCACCCCCAGCTGATCCCCAAGTCTTCCTCGAAAAATACCGGGACCACATCAGGAAAGTCCGCCCAACACCTACGGCTCACCATATCAAATCTCGCTGCTTCATCCTCAAGGACCTCGCAACTTGCAGTCATGTCTTCCGCCGAGTGGACTCTGTTCGTCGCCCGCTCGAACCGCCCTACACTGGCCCGCATTAAGTCGTCAAGAGAATAAATGACCGAGTGTACAGCATTCGAATCAATGGCGTTGAGAAGACTGTGTCTGTGGACGCCCTGAAGCCAGCCTACACCCTTAAACCCGATACCGTTTCATCCACCCTGGAGAATCACCCAGCGTCATCCTTCACCATGGACCGCCCTCTTCGCACTTACTCAAAAAAGAAGGTTTCGTTCCTCCCACAAGTGGCTTCGTCACTGGGAGGGGAGTAGATGTGGCGTCATTGTTCCGCGAGTCCGTTGTGTTCAACCCTGGATGGCTCAACTATTGTGTACAACCCTGGCGGCCTGACGTGACGTGACAGAAGACAGCTGTCCCAGGTTGTTGTTTACTTCTAATCAGCTTGTTGCCGCGCAATTATGATATCGTGTTGTTGTTAACAAAATAAAGTATTTCGATTTATTTGTATGTTCAGTGCCCAGAATTAAACCGAGTTATTAGTAAAACAGTGTTTTCATTCGCTGGTGATATATCAAGCAAACACATAGCAGTAGTAGCTATAATATCTTAACTAGTGCTGCCATCTATCAACATTGTATAATATTAAAAATGAGTATTATAATGAAAATCTGTATCGTAATGAAGTTCATTATGATACAGATTTTAATCGTTTAATAGCGTATTATGAAATGTCAGTAGAAAAACATAGTTTATGCTTCAAACAAAATCTTCCATATAAAAACTTTGGACTTAATTTTCTGGGACATCCCATACTCGTACAAAGAAGTGACCATAAGCAAAAATGCTTGTTTTCAGGTATAGAATAACATACTGCAGTTCTAAAAAAATCGGCATTCTAATATTTAGTGCCATTCTTAAAAAAAAAAAATGCGCCCTCTAGTGTAATAATTTAATAATTGCTATAAGGTACCTGTCCTAAATAAGGCCACGTTAAGAAGTTTTATTTTTTCCTAATATTATCTAGCGAACCCAACAAAAATCCTGAGCTTATATGTGAAGTGTTTCGCTTCTATTACTTGAATATTAACTCCAATTTATTTATTTTTTTAAATAAGTGGAGTTTTTTGCGTAAAACAAAGACGCTTACCATTGGCCTTATTTGGGTCACTATGCTCCTAATAAGGCTACCATTAAAAAATGTTTAAAATAAGTACAATTAATTATAAAAATATTATTATTTAAGAAATAGTACACAAAATAGAACTTATATGTTTGCTGCATTCCTAAAACAACCATAATTCCAAGTTCTTGGACGGTGAGCCGAATAAGTCTACATACAACTAGGACAAATGAACCGTAGCATCTCTCGCTTGGAGAGACTCTAGACATTTCAGAAAACATCACTTAAGTAATAATATGACACATTCTTTTAAAAAAACACTGTGATGTGAGGCCAATTGAACATTTTTTGTATGATGGCCTTATTAGGAACATGTTAAATTGATAAAAAAAAGTCTGTAACTAGAAATCTAGCAAAGATATTATTCTGTACTTACTCTGTAGCTTTGTCAAAACATAAATGCCCGTTAAAAAATTACAATCGTTCCATTCACTTTATAAACACGTATAATAAGCTAATTGAGTTCCAGCCTCAAAGTTATAACGTGACATATGAAATTTGTGGTTGGCAATTTTTCGACATATGAAGAGTTGTTAGGAACCCTTGCAATAATTTTTGATTTGCATTATGGATTTCTTTTTTCAAAATATTGTATTTTTTTAAAATGGGATTCGCTATTAAGCAATAAAGGGCACTGGCCTTATTAGGTACATGGGCTTATTTGGGTCAGGTACCTTATAATAAATAGCGGGAACCCTGTAAACATTTAAAAGGGTTATGTAAATTTAAATTTGAAAGACAAAAGAACAAGTAACTTTAAACGTTACAATATAATAGTATAAAATCTCTAAATATTATATTTCATTTGAGTCAAAAATTCACTTTGTTGCCTTTCAGTTTTCTGTAGAGAATCCAATTGGATCTTCAGCCTTTCCACTTCCAACGAAACTTCTTTCACTATTTCACGCATCAACTGCTGATTGTCTTCTTTTTGCTTTTCCATTAAACGCAACAAATTCAGAGCCCCGATGGATTTCATTTTTTGAATTTCAATTTTCGCCCCCAGTTTTTTCAATTGCGGATACGAACTTGTCCGCAATTTTTTGGAACTCGTCTATTTTTTCCACGTAAATGAAACTTGCCTCTTTTAAATTGATTGTTTGGTGGTGATTTGTGGGTTCTAAAATGCACATTTTATCGATTTCGTCGAAGAAAATACCGCTGTGAGATAATTCCGACATTTTGTTTTATGAATGAGAAGTTCCTGTTGTGACAGTGACAATTTTTGCCTCAAAATTTGGTCAATTTCCTTCCGACCTTTTTGTATTTGTGATAACACGCCTGCTTATAAAACTCAACTTCATTAAGCTTTTCTTTCATTTTTCCAATTTTCAATTCGATAGATTCCAAATTTTGAAGACTCCTTATCATTATCTGGGCAATGGATTCTACATCGGGATTTATTTGGGCTAGTAACTCATCACAGGCCTGAGCTTCCTCAATTTGTTGCTGTCTGTTTATTAATTTTGCGCTAATATCCTCAATTAGCAAGTAAGTTTCTTCTTTATTTGTTGGCTTACGTTGACAAGTACATTGTGGAGGTATTTTTTGCTCAACATCAATCAAAACTTGCTCTACATCTTGTAGAGTACGTTCAATTAGTGCAGTTTGAGTTTGGATTTCGTTCTGAAGACGTTTTAAGTTACTAATTTGGCTTGGCATGTGGGCTATGCGTTCTTCTTGCTTTAGATTTTTGCCCAAAAGTTCTTTGTCGTATTCCAGCTGCAATTTGAATCTGGTTTCTTCGTCCGACAAGTGTAAAGCGCAATCGTCGATTATCTTGTTTAATTGCTCAAATATTAATCGGTTGTTGCACATTGTGATGATTTCACTGGGAATTTTGCATTTAATAAAAGTTATATTGATAATGATAATTACAATAAATTTATTGGTTAATGTTGACAGTGATTGATTAACAATATTGATATAGGTGGAAAATAATAGTATAAACCATAGACATATACAACTGTATGCAACATCCTCTTTTAAGGTAAAAGCGCTTTTTAAACCTGGTCACTTTTGAAAATGTGTATTCTAAACCATACAACGTTTTAAAGGTACCAGTTTTAAAAAGCGCTTTTAAGTTAAAAGAGGATGTTGACCCATTTAGAATAACCGTATCCTTATTTATCAATCACGTATCAGATGAAACAAAAAATTACCAACAAAAACGAATGTCGATTGCTAATACGTCAAATTCATGTACAGATAGGAAATTCCTAACTTAATTTTATTTGTCTGTTCAAGAAGCGACATATAGACCATGAGATAGGGGCTGTTTAGTGGAGTCATTTTTTTTTTCTCTGGCATTTTGAGGGTTGATTGTGACCAAAGAATATTATAGACTAACGTCTCTAGAAGTCTCGTCCGTATTCTGATTTTTGATACCTCGATGGACGCCGGCTTTTGCCGGTGTGGACGCTGGCTCGAGTCTATTGCCCACTGTTGCCGAGTTGTCAGTGCTGTTGATTCAGCGTCCAGCCAGCGAGCCAGCATCCGTGTCTGCTTCTCTGAATGAAGTTATTAAAGTGAAATATTTGCTTTGCGTGCATAGGGAGACAGACGCGTGCCAAAAGGAATTAGGAAGTTAAGCATATATTTTCTAACATATTTGATAATTTACCAACGAATATCATAGATGGATGCTATTCTATCATTTTCTTTAGGTTTTTTTTTCAGTATATTTGGCAAATTTGCCACTTAGAAATTTATGTTTAATTTCGAATTATGAATTATTTATTTATTTTCCAGTAGATCGGTTTATTTACCAACAAGTAAATTTTGGGGTCGGTCAAGTTTCCGCCTGTATTAAACAAATTTCAAAAATAAATACCTAAACCATAATAATTTTGCACACTATAACTAAAACATTGCACACAACACAACGAAAACTAGAGCATTTTTTTAAACTAGGGGCAAACTTGACCGTTCCCCCTTGTTTGTCTAAAACTTGAAAAATTCCTATTCACCTAAATTTGCACAATTTCGCATGCCTATTTTCAAATTTTGCACACTTTTCTGGGGAAAGTTAAAGTATGTTTTTATTTTTTAAATAATTCCCCAAGTCAAAAATTCAATAACTATGTTGGCAACACAAGCCTTTTCTACATAAAAAATGTTTGTATTTTTAGTTATTTACATTGATATTAATGGTAAAATTGGAACAACTGAGGTAGCCCGATTGGCCGCCTCATCTATATTTTTCAAGGGATCGATGCAATCTTCTCTTTCTTCTGTATTTTGTTGCATTTCTAGCAAAAATAATTACTGACCACGACACACTTTCAAGAAACTGACAAGACATTTCATTACCTGTAAAACAAGGTGCTGGTTGTTTGGATCTTTTGATAAATGTCAAATTCAATAATTTTATGTAGGAAAGATGCTTCCAATTTATTATTCATTGAAAAATCCAATTTGATGACGTCATAATTTAGAAATCTTAGATTTTACTATCACTTTTCCGCGATTGTAAACCCACTTTTCCGCAAATATTACCTCATTTTTTCGCGATTCTTATCTCACTTTTTCACAAATTCACACTCACTTTTTTTGAAATTTTTGACTCATTTTTTTTTGTGATTTTTGACCCACTTTTTTGCAATTTTGTTTTCACTTTTTTGCGATTTTTGGCTCTCACTCCTCGGCGATTACAAACTTATTTTTCTGCTATTTCATCCTCATTTTTCCGCGATTGTTCCCCTACTTTCCGCGATTTTATCTCCACTTTTCCGCTAATTTGACCTAATTTTTTTTGTGATTTTTGAAAAATATTTTTTTTTTTATTTTTGACTCATTTTTTTGCAATTTTACCATCACTTACCGCAATTCTAAATCCACTTTTTCACGATTGTAAATCGACTTTTCTGTAAATATAATCTCATTTTTCCGCGATTCTTGTCTCACTTTTTTTTGCGATGTTATCCTCATTTTTCCGCGATTCATATTTCATTCTCCGCGATTTTATCCTTACTTTTTGTGACTTTATCCTCATTTTTCCGTGAGTCTCATCTTACTTTTCCGCGAGTTTAAATTCACTCTTTTTGAAATTTTTGACTCATATTTTTCTTGCGATTTTTGACTCTTTTTTTTGTGATTTTATCATCACTTTCCACGATTTTATCCTCATTTTTCCTCATTACGAAATTACGAAAATAACGATAATTTTTGAAAAGTTACGAAAAATTACGGGAATTACGCTAAAGTACGTAAAATATGGAAAATTAGAGAGAGTTGTAAACATTTACGAGAATTACGGAACATTACGAGAATCACGGAATAACAAAAAATTGCGGAAATTACAAAAATTATGGGAATTGCCAAATATTACGCAAAAGAATTACGAAGTCACTCCAAAATTACGTCAATTATTTAAATATTACTAATTTTTGAAAAGTTACGAAAACTAACAAAAGACAAATTACGGGAATTACGAAAAATAATGGGAATTTTAAAAATTTACGGAACCTAGTAAAATGACGGAAATGACGAAAATTTGCGGGAATTATGAGAAATTATGAAAATTACGGGAATTGAGAAAAATACAAAAAACTACGAAAATTACAAAAATTACGGGTATTACGAAATATTACGGAAAAGAATTACAAAGTCATTTCAAAATTACGTGAATTACGGTAATTCCCAAAATAACGGAAATCACAATTTTTTGAAATTATGAAAATTACAATAACTTAGGGAGAATTAGAAAATTCCGAATTTTTTTGGAAATTAGGAAAATTGAAAATTAAAAAATTGAAAATATAAATAATTACTGGAAAAAGCGCGAAAAATTGCGGGAATAACGAAAATTACCAAGTTTTCCAAAAATTGAAAAAAATAACGGGGAATTAGAAAATAACAAGAATTATCTCAGAAATGACACGAATTAAAAAATTTCGAAAATCCACAAAAAAAAATACGGAAATTACCAATTTTCGAAAATTTCAAAAACTTGAAGAAAATTATAAAACTAACGAAATTTTTTTGAGAAATTACCGAAATTAAAAAATTACGAAAATATGTAATGGGAATTACGAAAATTTCGAGTTTTTCGAAAATTGTAAAAACTAAGGGGGTATTAGGAAAATAACGAGAATTATCTGAGAAATGACAAGAATTACAAGATTTCGAAAATTCCCAAAATAAAATACGAAAATTACGAGACTTACATAATTTAAAAATTATGAAAATAACGGAGTTTTCTGAGAAATTACAGGAATTAAAAAATTACGGAAATCTGAAAACTACAGGAATTATTCAAAAATTATGAAAAATACGAAAAAATCACGAGAATTAAAAAAATTGTGACAATTTTCAAAAAATTACGAAAATAACAAGAATTACAAAAAGTTACAGGATTCACGAATTTTCCGAAAATTGCAAAAACTAAGGGGGAATTATGAAATTAACAAGAATTTTTTGAAAAATGACGGGAATTTAAGAATTTTCGAAAATTCCAAGAAAAAAAAATACGGGAATTACCAATTTTTGAGAATCACAACAAACTGGGGGGGAATTATAAAGATAACGGAGTTTTTTTGAGAAATTACGGGAATTACAAAATTACGAAAATTTGAGGAACTACAGGAAATATAAAGATTGGAAGAGATAAGGAAAAATCACGAGAATTGCGAAAAAATTACGATAATTTTTGGTAAGTTACGGGATTTATGAAAAAGTTACGGGAATTACGAAAATTACGAGTTTTCCAAGAATTGTAATGATTAAGGAAGAATTATAGAAATAGGGAGAATTATCTGAGAAATTACGGAAATAATGAAAATTCACAATAAAAAATTTTTGAAAATTACGAGAATTACGAATTTTTGAAAGTAACAAAAACTTAGGGGGAATTATAAAATAAGTAGGTAACTGAATATTTTGAGAAATTACAGAAATTAAAAAACTACGAAAATCTGAGAAACAACAGGCATTATTCAAAAATTACGGGAATTTTGGAAAGTTACGAAAAATTAAAAAAATTAGGAAAAAGTTATGGGAATTACGAAAATTAGGAGTTTTGCGAAAATTGCAAAAACTAAGGAAAAATTATAAAAATAACGAAATTTATTTGAGAAATAACGGCTTTCAACAATTTTTTTTCGCAATTTAACCTTCACTTTTCCGCAATTTCAAAGTCCAAACTCACTTTCTCGCAATTTCAACAAAATTTTCCGCGAATTTTGTCTCACTTTTCCGTTATTCTTTCCTCATTTTTCAATAAGTATAAGCTCACTTTTCCACGATTTTCGCCTCACATTGCCGCAATTTCAACCTAATTTTTCCATAATCTTTACTTTTGTTTTTCGTATTTATAACCTCATTTTTTCTCGATTATAACCTTGCTTTTCCGCCATTTTTACTCAACTTTTTCGCAATTAGGGAATCCAAACCACGTGACTTTTGCCAACCAGCCGGCATTTTGAAATTTTTATGAGGTTAGAATACGGGTTTTTACATGTCAACGATGTCAGAAAAGTGTCAGATTTGAGAACTCGTCCCGTGTATTGATAAAGCCTCGTACTCATAAAAGCGAAATTCGTCAAATTGTCGATGCAATGTCAAAAAAGAGCAAATTATGAGTACTAGGCTTAATCCTGCCAAAAAAAAAACATATTATGTGTTTTGTTTATTGTTTGCCAACCAGACGCCATTTGGACAGGTCGTTGGATTGCCTAATTCCAACATTTCTAACCTCATTTTTCCGTAATTTTTACTTCTATTCCAACGTCACTTTCCAGCAATTTTGACACTCACTTTTTCGCAATTTTTGAAAAGTTACGGAAAATTGCAGGAATTACGAAAAATTACTGGAATTATAAAAATAAAGAGAATTACAAAAATTACAAAAATTATAGGAATTATGAAAATCACGAATTTTTGAAATTATGAAAATTACAAAACTTGGGGAGAATTTAAAAATAACGAAGTTTTTTAAAAAATTAGGAGAATTAAAAATAAGTACAAAAAATTACGGGAATTACGAAAAAATTATGATTTTTGAAGTTATGGGAAAATTACGAAAAAGTTATGGGGGAATTACGAAAATTATGAGTTTTTCGAAAATGCAATAACTAAGGAAAAATTGACTTTTTTAAGCAAAATTCATTTTCTTACATTTTATTTTTTTTTCTAGAAAACTGGCAAAAGGATAATTGTGGAAATTTTTCAGAAAAAAAAGAAAAGTGAGGATCTCATTAAAACAAAATTTCAAAATTTTCCAGTAAAAAATCACTTCAGGAAAAATTCTGGAAAATTGACTTATTTAAGCAAAATTAAGGAAAATTCATCCTCTCACATTTCAATTTATTTCTGGAAAACTAATAAAGCAAAAGTTGTGAAATTTTTTCAAGAGAAAGAAGAAAATAAGGAGCTCATTATAGGAAAATTTCGAAATTTTCCAGTGAGAAATCACTTGGAAAATCGACTTTTTCAAGTAAAATTAAGGAAAATTCATCCTCTCACATTTTTTTTTTTTTGGAAAACTAGCAGAAGAAAAATTTTGAAATTTTAACAGGAGAAAGAGGAAAGTGAGAAGTTCATTATATGTATGTATAAAAATTTCAAAATTTTCCAGTAAAAAATCACTCCAGAAGAAATTCTGGAAAACTAACTTTTAACCAAAATTCATTTTTTTAATTTTAAATTTTTTCTGGAAAACCGGCAGAAGGAAAATTTCAAAAATTTACAGTGAAAAATCACTCTAGGAGAAATTTTATTTATATATTTTCGGGTAACTGAATAAATTCTCTTCTAAGTTAAAAAATGTATTACAAAACAATAATTCCGAAGGTGCTCCATGAATTAATCTATGACATAACTTTTTCTCTAAGTTATGACGTCATCGATGACGTAAGTAAAAACTTGCGTGCCGTGAAACAAACTATATGTTTGTTTGAAATTTCAGACATAAAAAAATCAATTTTTTTTTAAAAAAGGCAAATGATGACGTAAGTACAAACCCTCGTGAAACCAACTTTTCACGCGTCTCATTTTCTTTCCATCAAACTCCAAAAAAAAAAAAAAAAAACAAAAAATGGTGCTGCAACACCCCTCAAATTTGGAGCCTAGTTGCGCTTATGCTACTCGCTTTGGCCAATTTTGCGCACGTTTCTGGGGAAAGTTATTAAGGCATTAAAAATTTGCACTTTCCCCCCCGTTTGTCGAAAAATTAAAAGATCCTATGCTTGTCTCCCCACTCTCCCCCCCCACTCGTTTTTCAAAAAGTTGAAAAATCCTTATGCTACTAGGTTCACCTAATTTTGCACAACTTTGCACACCTATTTTTAAATTTTGCAAAATGTGCACTTTTCCGCCGGTTTTTTGAGAAAATTAAAATTTTTTATGTTACTCAATTCGGGTTGAAAATAAACGTACAAAATTGAGTGAACCCAGTAGCCAGGGTTTTTCAATTTTTTGACAAACAGGGGAAAACGTGCAAATTAATACAACATTCAACTCCCAGAGGAATGTGTAAAATTAAAAATAAGGTGTGCAAAATTAGCCGAAGCGAGTAGCATAAGAATTTTTCAAGTTTCAGATAAACGGGGAAAAAAGTGCACATTTATCACACCTCATAACTTTTCCCAGAAGAGTGTGCAAAATTTGAAAATAGGTGTGCAAAATTGTCCAAAATTAGATGAAACGAGTAGCATAGGGGTCTATCAATTTTTTTAAAAACGGGTGGGGTTATGCAAATTTTTGATACGATATAACTTTCCCTAGAAAAGTGTGCAAATTTCGAAAATCGGTGTGCAAAATTATGGGTTATTTATTTTTGAAATTTGTCGATTTGTCGAAAAAAGCAAATTTTCAAAGACGGGGGTAGTCCTGACAACCTGTTCACCTCTCGACAGCTGTCAAAAAT